TAAATGTAAACATGTAGTCGATAAGTCATTAATTTAAAATGAGAAATAAGTCAAACAACTACAATCTTGAAATTAAAAGTGCAAGTATCAAAGTTCTAGAATAATTAAGATAGAAAACAATATTCTAAAAGCTCTAACATCTAATACATATTTTCACAAAGTATTAATTTCCAGGAATAATATCATCTTCCAAACAAACTGCCGATGATACGGGTATCCGTTAGGATACGAGTATCGGAAACTTTCAAAAAATTACAAAAAAAAATGGAAACTTTTAAAAATTACAGATACGGCCCGGGAACGTATGGTACGGGTATCCTAAAGTATCGGATACGGGAACGTATCCGATACGCCGATACGCTACCCTAGGGAAGTATCCGTGCTTCATAGACTTTAGTCGATCATTGTTATATCTATAACTTATTCCCTCTCGAATACTCAATCGATGAGTATATCCAATTCATCGAGGGTAATTATTAACAACGACCGTTCATTAATAACCCTTACTATTAGTCAATATAGAACACGCGCCATATACTGACTTGATAGTAGCATTTAATCTCTTAACTCCTTGAAGAAATCAATTGAGATTGATAACCTCAACACAACGGTTTCGGTTTAACCAATTTTATCGGGTGCTGGAGTCCGATAAACACAAATGGGTTGCAGAGTGCAAGAGGAAGAAGGAACGTGATTGCCCCTAGAGAATGCACGCCACAAAAAAAACAAAGGCAACCTCAACAGCTTCACAATAGTGCGTTATCGTGGACCTCATTTTGCTAGCTGTGTTGGCAACACCGACAGAACTGATCACGTGGCGATGACTTCTGATTTCATTGCTAAAGATGTGATTGACATTCTTCGCATTGATCCTTCCCTTAAAGTGCATACTATCATTGAGCTGCTGAAGGAAAAGTATGGGTATACAGTATCATACAGGAGAGCATGGATGGGCAAACAGAAGGCCATTGCAGAAATTTTTGGCGATTGGGAGAAGTCGTATTCTGAATTGCCACATTTCATGACAGCGCTCCAACATTCCAATCCTCGAACTGTTGTTCACTGGTACCCACCCCCTATTACTCCAACAGGATATATGCAATTTCAGAGAGTATTTTGGACATTCAAGCCTTCAATACATGGTTTTAAGCATTCTCGACCCGTACTTACTATTGATGGCACACACTTGTATGGGAAGTACAAGGGTACATTGCTCGTGGCTATGAGTAGTGATGTGAACAACCAAATATTTCTCGTGGCCTTTGCTGTTGTTGAATCTGAGAATGGGGAGAGTTTTCTTTATTTAACATTTTTATTTATTTCTAACTAATTGTAATTGTGTTTCATATTTCAGACACGAGCTTTGCAGCGTAAACATCAGCGGGTTACTGCCACAGTGAGCGATACGCATGACGTGGACATGTACGATCAAGTTTTAACGGGCATCGCCTCGTTATGTTCATATGTGTTGGGACGAGTCGACTACGGTCATCTTATACATATGCCCCCATCTCAGGATATGTCATCGACATCTAGTGCAGCGGCAACTTCATCATCCCAGACTTAGCATGAGAGAGTGGTTGTTCAACCATGCCAGCGGCGTAGGCGTAGGCAGCAACAGCAACATCTCCATGACCAAGACGATCAAGAAGATCATGAGAACTTGTAGTTTGTCTTTTGTATTGGAGGAAGAAAATACTACTATAACTAATGTCAAGATCTAAGCTAATTGTCATCTTAGCAACACTCCCCAACATTAATATAGAGATAGTATTAAGGAAAGAATTAATAATTAATATTCAAGGGAAGAAGTTTAAGAAAAATAACTCACAACTTTAATAATAACAAGATGTAAGAGCAACACCAAGAATGAAAGTTTAGCTCCTCATTTGGAGACTAAACATTGATAGAAAAATATAAAGAAATGCTATTCTAAACTGAGCTTAAGAGTATGGAAGAAGGGATGATTATTTGTGAAGGAAAAGTGTGCTATTTATAGGTGTTTTTCAACACCTTGGGAGTTGGGCCGCGTACCCGATCGGGTCAAGTGCTCACCCGACCGGGTCCGGTCAAAATCAGATAATCTTCCACGTTCTGGTGATCTTCGGCACGTTCTGGTGTTCCGGGTCAAGTCTAACCCGATCGGGTGGAATAGGGGACCCGACCGGGTCCAATGATATTCCAGGCAATTTCGGTTGTTAAATCAAACCCGGCCGGGTGATGTCTTCTACTCGGTCGGGTAATTGCTCCTGGACAGTCAAAACTTTTTTTTCTTCACTTTAAAGTCCTCCTTTTCAACACCATAATTCCTAATTCAACTTTACAACTTACAAATGAAGGTTAAAATACAATTACAACTAAAATCACACAAATGTTTACAAACTAAATAAAACGGTAAACAATCCACACAAATCAAACATAAAAATAAACATTTATGCACTACTAATTAGTGCATATCATTGCAATATTGGTGAATTTTGCACTATTCGATTACATTTTATTTATTAATGTATTATAAATTAATTTTTGTAAAAATATTGTTAAATTCCTCTCATTTTAAATTTTTAAAATCTGAATTTTTATAATTTTTTACTAATAAGAAATGAAAGATACTAATGATCAAACTTGTGTGTTGGCAAATGTGAAAAGTGAATCGTTGCAACTAAAAGAGAACGGAGAAAGTATAACACAAGCGGTTTTTTCAAAATTTAGCAAAAATGAAGAATTTAGGAAAAATTTATTTACCTTTCATTTTTTACACGTAGAAACTTGTGCAGTTGTGCCACTCTACCGCCCAACACATAGCGAGGCTTTTAATCCACAAAGGAAGTACACATGTGACTCATACTGAAGGGTAAAGTTTCATTCTTTAGTCATTGTTGAGGTAGATTAAAATGACACTTGTGACGGGTAGAAAATTTGTAGTGATCTAGATTGGTTGGTGGTAGGAATAATTAAGAATAGGTTACTTCATAGTTTTTACACCAAGACACGCTGGAAAATAACATATCATGTCCACGTACGATGCCAACTGAGCAGTAAATTGGAAAATCAACACTTGACCCGTGAAAAAGCATATTTGAAAAAAATAATATTCCTGGAGAACGTATTGAAGAAACTTAACAGGGATTTAATTGACTTGACTTTTTATACACAGACTAAGAAGGTTGGTTTGACGTTTTCTCTTTGTAATTTGATCTCATTCTTTCCCAAAGTCAGACCCCATCACATTTTTATCAATTTAAATTTCTAGTAGTATTATTTGTGTTACTATTTCACACATTATCTTCATTCTTAAATAATCTCAATATAGTCCCAACCAATAGGATAGTCCACTGCTCAAACACGTGCACTTGACTAGGGATAGTCCCTACTCCGGAATTAAACCCGAAAAGAATCAGAACAGTGTGTAAACAATCAGGTCGGTCCACTGCTCAATTTTATTCAAGTTCCAATTGTGCCAATATAGGACCGTAACCGGTCGGGTTACGTTTTATATTTAAATAGGCTGAAAAGTTGAACCAGGTCAGAATAGGTCCACCCCTACATCTCACATGCCACCAATGTCAGTTAAGGTAGTAATAAAATAGAAAAAATGGCTTAGATGTCACTCTTGGACTTTTAAAAGACAAAAACATAACTCCTTTTAATAATTCCAAAAATATGACTTACCGGTGGGCGTAGCTCAACTGGTAGAAAGGGAGTGCCACAAGGGTTAGGTCTCGGGTTCGAATCCCGGCAACTGCGATGAGGGGTTACTATGCTAAAAAATGCATAGGACCTCTACAAGTACCGGGGACAGAGCCTCACTCTCTATCTGTCAGATTGGGATTACTGTCCGGTCGGGGTTGGGGGGCCCTCAGGGATGGGGTGTCATCCTTTTTTTTCATTGAACAAGGAAGTCCATCTTTCTTCTCTTCATCTTTGCAGTCCGCCATCGCACCGTACCGCCACTGCCTCCAAGTCGTACCGGCTCCACCTTCGCAGTCGCCGCCACTTCCTATGTCGGCATCCGATGTTGCCGCCTCTGCCGGCCTCCAGATCTCCGCCTGCTTCCATTCTTCTTATTCAGTTTTCCAGATCTGATGTGAAAGTCACGGCAGCCAAGTTCCATGGTTTGGTCATGCTCTGGCGGTTCCATGGTTTGGCAATTGCTAGCAAACAACGGCGACGACCCAAAATTAGGGTTAGGAGTTGGGGCTGTTGTCTGGTGGTTGAGCAGCGGCTAGATTACGACGTTGGTGATGCGCTGAAGGTTGGAGGCTAGGGTTGGGGGAGTGACGATTGGGGTTAGGGCTGAATGTTGAAGGCTTGTGGTGTTGAACGACATTGATGGGCTCGCAGGGTAGTTTGGCTGACCGCCTGTTGGCTTGGGACAGGAAAGGGAGCAAAGCAGGGGCAGGGCAGAGGCTTGGGCTTGGGTTTAGGGTGCTGGTGGGGCATGGGGATGGAGAGGGGCAAGGGTAATGGGCGATCTATGGGCATTGGGCAGACGACGGTAGTGGCAGCGAGATAGCGAGCAACCACCGTGTTGGATGGGGAGGTGGCTCGGGGCTAGGAGGGGGTTGGGGGCTCGGGAGTTAAGTCAAGGTTGGGCGGCGGCCGGGGTTGGCGGTGGCGGTATCATCAATGTTGTGTGTCACTGTGGCTGAGTAACTGTGAGCGGGCAATCTAACAAGAGTCACTGTGACCGATGTGTGGGTAGTCATTGTGGCCGATAGGCGGGCAGTCACGGTGGTCGAAGTCACTATGGTCGGAGTCATTGTGGCAGCGGTGTCACTGTGACGGCAAGATCAATGTGACCGGTGGGGCAGTCAATGTGGCCGGTGAGGCAATCACTATGGTGGCAGAGTCACTTTGGTCAGAGTCACTTTGGTCAGAGTCACTTTGCATTGCAAGGGTTAATCACTTAATTGTGACGTTGGTCACATTTCTGGAATTTTTTAAAACGTCTCACTTTTTTATCTTTTTTCTTATTTTTAGTAATATTCAGGCCAAAAGACCTGAAATTGTCAGTAATTTTATACTAAAATGTGTGAAGCGTGTACAAAATAATTTCAAAATAATTTCAGTAGGGGTGTAACTCGTGAAAACCAATCTAACACTAGCCAATAAAAAGCAAAATCATAGTCTAGTACTCTAGTCGAGCAAAACATCATGGCATTTCCTCTATGCTTGCCACCAACTATTGCCCCCGTCACCCCGTGCGAACTACTCTCATCACTCCATGTAAAGGAGTTGTACAGATTTGAATCTGAGAAATGGTGAAAGGTGAAACTTCCTTCATAGATCGAAGATCCAGCAACTGCAACTGAAAATAAGATGTGGCGAATGACTAATGTATATAATTGCTATATTACTAAAAACTTCCTTCATCTCTATGATTTCAGTAGGGGTGTAACTCGTGAAAACCAATCTAACACTAGCCAATAAAAAGCAAAACCATAGTCTAGTCGAGCAAAACATCATGGCATTTCCTCTATGCTTGCCACCAACTATTGCCCCCGTGTGAACTACTCTCATCACTCCATGTAAAGGAGTTGTACAGATTTGAATCTGAGAAATGGTGAAAGGTGAAACTTCCTTCATAGATCCAGCAACTGCAACTGAAAATAAGATGCGGCAAATGACTAATGTATATAATTGCTATATTACTAAAAACTTCCTTCATCTCTATCTTTGCCTCTGCTAATAAGAATAACTTCAACATTTAATTAGGTATGTTCATCATGTTCCTGAAACTGCATTAGTAGAAGAAGAATGAACAACAAAAAAGGAACCTACTCAAATATAAAACTGAAAATGTATGCCCACTAAATTTTTGCATACAACACCTCTGTATCCCTGAAATTGTACTTCTGAACTTCAAAAGCCTAACTCCACTGCAGCAACTCGTGAAATCATTTCAGAGAGTTGGAATGCCAAAACTATCAGAATGCTGTAATTTGTAGGGAACCAATATCTGAGTCAAGAAAAAAAGGAAAATAATTGAAAAGTATGCCTGAAAGTTATCTTAACACTGTATTTAAAAGCAACACCTTTTATTAGTACTAACTTCCATTTTCATCCCCACCCCTTTTTCATTACTTTTTCTACACACTGTTTGAAACGCAAAAAGCGGCAAGGGAAGGAAGGATAATGCCAAGGGAAATACCTAGTAGTTTATAAATTTGGCTTTAATTTGAAAATATGAAGAACATCAAATGTGATCAGAGCTTCTTTACTATTTTACATAAAAAAATCTTAGTCTTTATGCATTATGAATATGTAACAATATGAGTTGGAACAATTTTCTAAAACTGATAAATTGAGTTTGCACCAAATTATTCTTTTTACCCTAATTTTCATTCCCTGATTTCTATGCGATCGAGGTATGCCGATTAGACTGAAGGGTAAATTTTATAGGACGGCAATTAGGCCTGCATTACTGTATGGCGTAGAATGTTGGGCGGTGAAACAATGTCACATTCAAAAGATGAGTGTGGCAGAGATGCGCATGCTGCGTTGGATGTGTGGGCATACTAGGAAGGATCGCGTGAGGAATGAGACAATCAGACAAAGGGTGGGAGTAGCACCTATTGAAGACAAGATGCGGGAGTCACGCCTACGGTGGTTTGGTCATGTGCGTAGAAGACCGAATGATGCACATGTGAGACGAGTTGAGATGTGTGGAGAAGAGGCAGAGAAGAGAGGGAGAGGAAGACCCAAACAGACGTGGATTAGGGGAGTTCGAAGTGATATGCTTCTTCTGGGGTTGGATGAGGGCATGACTTTGGAGAGAGCTAAGTGGAGGGCGGGTATTCGTGTGGAGGAGTGATCTTATATCATCTTTTTCCCTCATCTTTTTTCCTTGTTTTTTATCCTTATATATATAAGCATTATTTTTATCCTTTTTATTTTATCATTTTTATGTATATTCATCTCTTTTTATATTATCTTTTTATAATAGCTTATCTTTTTTATCTTTATTTCCTTTCTTTTCCTTTTGGTGGTGATATCATGTATCGATTCATGTTAGCCGCCCCCAATATCTTTTGGGACTAAGGCTTGGATGTTGTACCCTAATTTTCATTCCCTAAACCTTTCCTTGTTCCAAATGGACCCTAATGGTTTTATTGTTACAAAACATACCTTGGAGAGCAGTGGATTATGTGCATTTTTCATTCATGGCTTGCACTGTTGCCATGCAACTGAGCAGATGCAGATCTCATGTTAGGCTCATCCTGAAATGAAAGACAGTTATATACAAATGAGCTGTAAATTATGATATATGGCAACACCCTTGAATCTAAGACCAAGGTTTAAAAAGGCGGGTTCGGGTTTCAAGGCAGTTTGTTCCTAAGAGGCGAGACGTAAGCCTTGAGGCGTATTGAGGCGTAAGCCTAAAAAAATACAGACATAAAACTTGATATAGTTAAACTAGTAACAAACAACTCAAAGTCCTTTATGTTGACATCAACACCATCACCAGCGTTCACCATAAATCTGTCTAAAGGAGTAAAGGCCCACGAGTACCCCTTGTTGGAAGAGTATTATCATTGGCTTGATCCTCCCCCTCCATCCCACTGCCAAAGTAAGAACCTACAGCAACACACTCTTCAAATTCTTGTTGTGCCAGTCTTTTTTTTGCAGCTCCTTTTTTCAAAGTCTTGGAATTTTTTTTTAATGTCATCAGACACTTCTTTACAAGGAATAACATTCTTTCTGGTACAAGCAAGATGATCTTTCATCCTCTTTACACCTCCTGTGATTGTTCTTTCACAATAATTGCACTTTAGGTATACATAGCTCTTCTTTTCATCTCCAGGGCCTGTTACTTGAACACTATGATTCCAAGCAGGATCTCTTATGTTCCTAGTAGCACCAGTAGCAATACCAAGGCCTTCAGAACTACTAGGTGTAGCAGTACAACCATGACATTGTTAGAGACTCCATGCAGTCGAACAAGGAGGACAAATATTATGGAAGAGTCTATTCTAGAAGGAGAGAGAGGGGTAGTTATTAGTTATTTTCTGTTATTAACTAATAACTGTAAGTGGTTGTTCGCTTGCTATAAATAGAATAGACTGGGGGTATTCTCAGGCAGGCTGTTAGACTGCTAAGTCAGGACTGGGAAGATTAGAGTTCTAGCTCTATCTTTGGGGGCTTCGGCCAGTGTAACTCTGTGGATTTCAATAAAGTTTGTGCAGTTCCTTTTGATTGTTCTGTGAATTTGCTGTGAATACTGGTAGTTCTTACAGTGGTATCAGATCACGACGATCTCTGGATGAGATATACTCGTGCGAAGATGGACGGACGAATGACGGAAGTGGAGAGAAGCTTGAGAGAAACTGCAAGAAGGCAAGATACGATGGAGACGATGATGATCGCTATGCAAGCAAGTCTCGCTGACATTCAGAATCGACTTCCAGGTCGTGCGCAAAGCAGGTCACAGGCCTCATCCGCTTCACATCGCACCTCTCACCATCGGCGATCACGGAATTCAGAGAATGATGACGACTTGCATGGAGATTCGGATCATTCACAACACTGTAATCACCGACACCACAGGGAACATAATACACGTCGCCGAACAGGAAGGAAGATCAATTTGCCATTATTTAATGGAGATGATGCTAACGGTTGTTGGTTGGTTAGAATCGACCGATATTTCCGTCTTAATCAGATTGAGGAAGACGAGAAGGTAGATGTGGCAGTAGTTGCTATGGAGGACCGCGCACTGAGTTGGTTTCAGTGGTGGGAGAATCAGACGAGAGAGGAATTGGGACGCCATGAAGGAAGCTCTAACTCGAAGATTCCAACCAGAGTTGGTAAGAAATCCTTTGGGACCTCTATTAGGTCTTAAGCAAAAGGGAACCGTGAAGGAGTTCCGAGAACAATTTGAGATGGCTGTAGCATCACAAGGCGATCTAAGTGAGAAGGTCACAAGAGGCATTTTCTTAAATGGCCTAAAGAAGGACATCAGAGCTGAATTGAAACTTTACAACACCAGAGATTTGGCTGAAATCGTGGACACAGCCCTATTGATTGAGAATAAGAATTTTGAAGTGTTATCCAGGAGAAATAAGGAAGAAGGGAAGAAGGTTTGGAAGAGCAGCAATTCTGGCAAACAAGGTTACAATCATTGGGGAGATGGCAGTAGAAAAACTTACAACCAGGCATCTACCAATACTTCTGTGAAGGATTCAGTTGATAACAGAAGACAAGAGGATGGAACTAATTCTGTTTCTAAGAAGTTAGGTCCTAGATTGACACAGAATGAGTTGTTGGAAAGGAGTAAGAAGGGACTTTGTTTCAAATGCGGGGACAGATGGAACAGAGGCCATATTTGCAGTATGAAGAATTTTAAAATGAGGCTGGTGGAACAATCTGAGGGAGAAGAAGAATCTGACATGAATTCTAGTGAAGATGAAAAGGGAGAAGGAACACCTATGGAGGTTAAAACACTGAAATTATCTGTTCTGAGTCAAGAAGGGATTCCTTCCATGAAAACATTTAAAGTCATGGGGAATCTAAAGTGGGAGACTGATCAGAAGCAAGTAAATATTTTGATTGATTGTGGGGCCACACACGATTTCATTTCCCAAAGACTGGTGGATACATGGAAGATACCTTATAGGTGTATTAAAGGCTACAAGGTGCAGATAGGAAATGGGGAATTTCTTCCCAACAATGGCAGGTGTGAGGAGGTAGCTTTGGAGATACAAGGTAACCAGATTGTACAGCAATTCTACATTCTGGATTTGAGTGGAGTAGATTTGGTGTTGGGAATGGAGTGGTTAACAGAGCTTGGAGATATGGAAGTCAACTTCCAGAATCAAATTCTTAAATGGAGAAGACAGAACCAGCTGCATACTATCGAGGGAGATATAGCATTGAATCAGATGGAAGTTTCATTGAAGTCCATCACTCACATTTTGCAGAATACAGGAGATGGCTACTTGTTTTGTGAAGGTAAAGGGCAGAATTCTCAGTCCAGTATTGATGAGGATGAAACCTGGAACAAGGTAAATGGTGAGTTTCCTGAAGTCTTCAAATCAGTGTTGGAACTGCCTCCAGAAAGACCATGTGACCATGCTACAAACATTATAGAGGGAACCAGTATACCTAATCTGCGGCCATACAGGTATAATTATGATCAAAAAAATGTAATTGAAAAGATTATACAAGAAATGCTTTCTTCTGAGATTATCAAACACAGTAACAGTCCTTACAGCAGCCCCATACTATTAGCCAAAAAAAAAGATGGGGGGTGGAGATTTTGTGGTGATTATCGGGCATTAAATAAGGTGACTATTCCAGATAAGTTTCCTATACCAGTTATAGAAGAACTTTTAGATGAGTTAGGAGGAGCTAAAGTGTTCTCGAAACTGGATTTGAAATCTGGATATCATCAGATAAGAATGAAGAAAGCTGATGCCCATAAAACAGCCTTTAGAACACATGAGGGACATTATGAGTATGTTGTAATGCCTTTTGTGCTAACAAATGCTCCCTCAACTTTTCAAGCATTGATGAATGAAGTTCTTAGGCCTTTTCTAAGAAAGTTTGCTCTAGTTTTCTTTGATGACATTTTGGTTTATAGCAAATCAAAAGAGGATCATGTAGAGCATCTTAGAAAAGCTTTGACAGCCTTACAAGATGATAAATTGGTAGCAAATTGGAAGAAATGTTCATTTGGGCAGAATCAGTTATCTTGGGTCACATCATTTCTGAAGGAGTATCTGCTGATCCTAGTAAGATAGAGGCTATGGTAAGCTTGACAGAGCCTGAGGATGTCAAAGGGTTGAGAGGTTTTTTGGGCTTGACTGGGTACTATAGAAGATTTGTAAGGGGGTATAGCAGAATTGCAGCTCCTTTAACCAACCTGTTGAAGAAGGATAACTACAAATGGGATATTCAGGCTAGCAAGGCTTTCAATCAGCTAAAGGAAACTATGACAACATTACCTGTTCTTGCCACTCCAGATTTTACTAAAAAGTTCATCATTGAAACCGATGCTTCAAGGAAAGGGTTAGGGGCTGTACTCATGCAAGAGGGAAGGCCCATTGCCTTCATGAGTAAGGAACTTTCTCCTAAGCATCACAGTAAATCTGTGTATGAAAAGGAACTCATGGCTGTGGTTCTGGCGGTACAAAAATGGAGACACTACCTTTTGGGAAGAACATTTGAAGTGCATTCAGATCAGAGAAGCTTAAAGTACTTGACTGAGCAGAAGATTATGGGGCCTGAGCAACAGAAATGGATCACTAAGCTACTGGGGTACAATTTTTCTATCAAATACAAACCCGGTGTTGAAAATAAAGCAGCTGATGCTTTATCCAGAAAGCCTGCTTTTCTATCCTTGTCTGTAGTATCATGTCAGGAGTGGACTGGTTTGGAAGAAGAACTACTGGAGGATTTAAGATGTAAGGACATTCTGCAGAAGCTTACATCTCAGCCAGATTTGATGAAGGATTATCGGTTCAAGGGAGGGATCTTATTTTATAAAGGGAAACTGGTTTTGACTAAAGGATCTAACAGAATACCCAGAATCCTCAAGGAATACCATGAAACTGCTCTTGGAGGACACTCATGGGTATTTTAGAACCATGAAAAGGATCTCCAGCTTATTCTATTGGGCTGGTATGAGAAATGACATCAAAGACTATGTGCAAGGGTGTGATACTTGCCAAAGAAACAAACACCAAACACTGAAACCTGCAGGTTTGCTACAGCCCTTACCCATTCCAGATCATATATGGACTGATATTAATATGGATTTTATTGGGGGCTTGCCTACATCCATGGGGAAGGATACCATTTTGGTAGTGGTTGATAGGATGACAAAATTTGCACATTTCTTACCTTTAGCTCATCCTTACAGTGCAAAAGGGGTTGCTGAAATCTTTATACAGGAGGTGGTAAAGATACATGGATTTCCTAAATCCATTGAGAGTGACAGGGATAGCCTATTCCTATCTACCTTTTGGTCTGAATTGTTCAAATCAGCTGGTACTACACTGAAGTATAGCACTGCTTACCACCCCCAAAGCGATGGGCAAACGGAGGTGGTTAATAAGTGTTAGAGACCTATTTAAGGTGCATGACTGGCAGAAAACCGAGACAATGGGTGAAGTGGTTGCCCTGGGCAGAATTCTGGTATAACACTAACTATCACATCTCATTGAAACATACACCCTATCAAGCCCTATTTGGTCAAGAACCTCCCACCATAATCAGAGGAGATGTGAGTCTGACTTCTGTGGCTGAGGTATCCAGATTGACTGCAGAAAGGAATGTTATGTTAAAGGAATTGAAGGATCATTTGGCCCAAGCACAAAATAGAATGAAGCAACAGGCAGACAAAAGTAGAAGGGAACTGGAGTTAAAAGTGGGGGATAAAGTCTTCTTGAAAATACAGCCATATAAAATGAAGAGCTTGGCCAAAAGGATCAACCAGAAATTGAGTCCTAGGTTTTATGGTCCATATGAGATCATAGAGAAGATAAATGCTGTAGCCTTTAAACTAAAACTGCCAGAGGAGAGTCAGATTCACCCAGTTTTCCATGTTTCTTTACTGAAGAAAGTGTTAAATCCTACAGCTTCCTATCAGGATCTTCCCAAATGTTTGACTGAAGAAGGAGAATTGATGGTGGTGCCTGAGGCTGTGAAGGAAGTTAGAATCAATCAGAATGGGGAAAAGGAGGTCTTGGTGCATTGGAAGGACCTCCCTGAATTTGAAGATTCTTGGGAAAAGGAGCAGGTGATCAGAGAACAATTTCCTACCTTCCAACTTGAGGGCAAGTTGGAATTTCAGTGGGGGAGTTATGTTAGAGACTCCATGCAGCCGAACAAGGAGGACAAATATTATGGAAGAGTCTATTCTAGAAGAAGGAGAGAGAGGGGTAGTTATTAGTTATTTTCTGTTATTAACTAATAACTGTAAGTGGTTGTTCGCTTACTATAAATAGAATAGACTGGGGGTATTCTCAGGCAGGCTGTTAGACTGCTAAGTCAGGACTGGGAAGATTAGAGTTCTAGCTCTATCTTTTGGGGCTTCGGCCAGTGTAACTCTGTGGATTTCAATAAAGTTTGTGCAGTTCCTTTTGATTGTTCTGTGAATTTGCTGTGAATACTGGTAGTCCTTACAGACATCTTTTCTTTGAACCTCTCATCATTAAACTAAATCTACACAGAAGTATTATTAATAACATGACTAAGGAAGCAAAGTGAATCACTAAATCCTTTACCAGTTAGAAAACATGAACAACAGTTGTAAAAGAAGGATAAGAAGCAGTGAAGGAGAAGAAGAAGAACAGTTCTGTAAAAGAAGGATAAAAAGCAGTGAATGAGAAGAAATGAAGGAGAGGAGTTGAATAAGAATAGAAGAAAGAGAAGGGGATGGAGAAGAAGAGAGGAGAAGAAAAGTTACCTGGAAGCTTTTGGGCTGTTGTAAGGAGATGTCGCAGGAGAAGAGAGAGTTCTTTGCGTAGGTGAATAGAAAGTATACGTTAAGGTTCAAATCCTTATCAGGATTTGAATGAAATAAGACTTGTTAGGGTTTAGTATATGGGCTTCTATTTAGAAAGAACTCTGGGCTTTTTATTAAATGAAATACTTGGGCCTGTTTTAAGTCACTGCGCAAGTGTTCAATGTGTGCGCCTCAACAAACGCCTCAAGGCGCGCCTCAATCTATGAGGCGTAAGCCTCTTTACCTGCGCAAAAAACCTACGCCTTGATACCCAACCAGTACGCTTCAGCTTGAGGCGCGCCTCAGAACCCGCCTCATAAGCGCCTTTTTAAACCAGGTCTAAGACGAGTATTTATAATTCACTCACTATGTATCAAAAAATGTCATGCTTGAGTAATGTACAACTTTTTATTTTTAATGAATTACAAGTGTACAACTCTCATAATCATATTTATGTTGCCTAATATTTTGTTGGCTTACTAAATTTAGCAAATGTAACTTTTCTGTGATTGCTTTCATTAATTTGTTACAACTACATTTGATTAAACTGGACTCTTTTTTGGACCAAAAAAAAAAGTTGACACGAGACTCTTTCTTTGGGGTAAGGAGGGAGTAATTGGTAAGCTGACCTGTAAGCTGAAACCAAAGCTTGGTCTGTAATCCAGATGCCCCTATATTGGTTGATCTCTTATTAAGTCTATTTACTGTTATTAGAGTGGTAGAACATTTTATATCAAGAGAGACTAATACCAGTACAGGCACACTTTGTTGAGACCCAAAAAAACCATCATGACTAGGTGTAATTGGAGTAAGTTGCCCCTACAACCATTCAAATGTTTACAAAGTTCTTCATATGCTGCTATATCAGTTCAGCAATGCAGGAGGGATTAAAACAAAACATAAAATAGTATATGTAATAATAAATCCACACTTAGTACCAGCCCCTGGATATTCTGTGGGTTGACATAATAAGAATCATTAGGTGGCTCCATCAAATTAAGCTGCATCTGGAATTAAGTAACAGTGGGATGATCACATTATTTGTAACATTGCACAAAATAAAAAGGACACATCAAGGACTACTGTGTCCTCTATATGCAGCAACCTACCAGTCCTTGCACATTCTGTTGTGTTCCATAATATCCACTCGGGGTCATACTATCTACGCTAAGATTATCCTACAAACAAGAAAGTTTAAATAAGAACGCCAGAAGAAAACACACCCACCCACCTACACACTAACACACAAATATATCCCTCTCAATTCTCATGGAAACAATCTGTAGAAACTGCATCCACTAATCTAAATGAAGTTGTAATTAAGTCCCTGCACATATAGCCTTTGATAGATTGGGAAGGAGGAGGGAAAGAAATGTTTTTTTGGGAGGGAGATAAATGTAGAATTTGTGTGTTTGGTTAAGAGAGAAAGAGAAAAATGTTTGGGTACCAATTTTATTTCTTCTCTCACATGGAGAGACGTGATAGAAATGCACTCCACGATCTTTAGTTCTTTACCCTTTTTTTTCATTTCTCTCCTACCAAACATGTCACAAAATCTACCCTACTTTTATGTTATATCTGTCTTCTGATCTTCTCTCTTTCTCACCCATTCCTCTCTTCTTCTCAATTTCTTCCCTTAACCAAAGGCATAAAGTGGTGACAAAAAGGGCACATGGCGACCGAGGTAATATTAAGACTCAAGGTTCTATCCTAAAACTGATAGGAGGAGTAGCTTAAAGTTTATATGTTAGTTTGTGTTTTCGTATGTGGCCGGTGTGGAATAGCTTAATACACCCCACATGATGGTGGCTCGTTTAGACCAATCTTGTAGTAAACGTGCTAGTTGTTAATAAAGACTTAAATCTAATTGCTCGTTGAAGTTTAATTGACTCTGATACCATATTAAAATTCAAGATTTCATTCTAAAAAATCAACTTGATAGGAGAAGTAACCTAAAATTTTATATTTTAATTTTTATTTTTATAGGCAGGGGCAGTATGGGATAGTTTAATAGGTAAAACATTGTCACCGATCTTTTACATGAATTTATAGTGCCAACTGCCAACTAAATTAAATGACACTAGCTATCATTTCACCTACCCAACTAGTTGGAATTAAGAATCTAGCGATGATGAATTGTTGATGAGAATGACAACTAGTCAAGTTACTCACGATAAACAGGTTCTAGTAAATTGTATTTAACGCATAAGAACACATAGTAATGACTAAAATCACAGGGGACAAACCAGTTGGCTCAAGCTGTTTTGAGTGTCAACAATTGCCAGTTCAGTCTCAGATTGTACCTGGATGGGGAAGGACAAGGTCATTGGCATTAAGAGAATGAACCACAACTAGGTTGACAACAGAGAGCTGATTCGATGTCAAACCTTTCTTTTCTTGGTCGCACTCTTCTTCTTACTTGTTTTCATGGCATGAGATCCTTTGTTCTCTTCTTCTACGTCACGAATGACAGCAATAGTACTGCTACATTCTGTACCAACTCTGTTATTAACATTCACACAGTTCCTTAGAGCTTCATCCAGTACCCGAAATGCAATATTGTAACTCTCCTCAGATAAAGATCCTTCTTCTCCCAATTCAATGGCCCATTTACACAGATCATTGTACCTTTGCACCCTTGTTTGAACCCTTTCAGTGCCCTCCACCATGTGCGTGTTCTTAGCATCTTTAGTCCACCTCTTCAGAATATAATGTGATGGGATGCTTGAAAGGCCACACATTTGAAGAACAATCATTGCGTGTCTGCAAAGGAACCCTTTGTATTCGAATAGTAAGCAAGAACACGAAACATCCAATTTTGCCTCGTTCCATGTCACAATAAAGTTGTCATCCTTTTCACAGTCATCAACCCTGAATGTTATGTTTGCACCATTTACGCCTCCTTCTCTCTTTGGGTGGCATCCGACTACCCCCAGAACCTCGACCTGAAATTTCTTGAATATTGTGTGAGTATAAATTGTTGACATTTGCTTCTCCCATGGTGAAGGAGATTTCAATGCAGGTTGTTTGTGCAATGTATCAAAGTCTGCTATGGCTTCTTCTTCATGCCTATTCTGCAGAATGAGTCCATACTGCTTCACAAGCTCTTTAAGACTGATCTTCTTGTGGATGTACTTGTCGAAGAATGAGACGGGACTTTCAGATCGTTGACTTGTAGACATTCCAGCTAAAAAGGCACCCCTCATGAAAATCGGAACCCAATTTTTTCGGTCTTCATACAACAAACGAATCCATTCATTCTCTTGTAGCTCAAATCTGGTAACCATCTTCCACCATCTCATATCAAACTGTTCATCCGTCAACGACTTGAATATGCACTTGGTGAATTTTCCCATGAAATCATCACGCTGCTTTATGACATGAGAGAGAATTTCAGGAATCCTTTCGGTTACATGCCAAAGAGCAAATGAATGACATGAAGAAGGGAAAATTTCCTCAGCAGCAGATTTAAGAGCTCTGTCCTGGTCAGTTATAATTACTTTAGGATGTCGTCCACCCATAGCTCGAAGCCATGTTTTCATTAACCAAACAAATGTTTGTTTGCTCTCATCTGCTACCAGTGCACATCCAAGTATCATCGGCTGAAAATGATGATTCACTCCAACAAAAAGTACAATTGGCATCTTTTCATTGCTCTTCATATAATTGGTATCAAGGAAAACAGCATCACTAAAACTAACAAAATCTTTTCTGCTTTTGGCATCAACCCAAAAAAGGTTCTTTAAACGCTGATCGTCATTGAGATCAACAGCATAAAAGAAATATGGATTCTCTTTCTGTATACGGATGAAATACTCAAGAATGAGTTGTGCATCACCCTCTTCTAACCCTAAACACTGCCCTCTACTAAACTGATAATTCAAACTATTCCCCGTTAATTCAACATCTCTATTTCCACCAGTTTGCCTTGACATCTCAACATACACCTTTCTTGTTCGTTCACTGACAGCATGAAGAATATCAATATTATTTCTTTCAGCTAGTTTTACATTCCTATGAATTCTAAAGTGGTACGCTAGGGCTGGAAGGAGTTCATGATTATGCTCCTTTATGAATTCATGGATGTACCAATTCCCATCTCGCTTTCTTTTTACATGCATGCTTGCTTTGCAATCTGTCTTTTTCACGGTAGGGCGTCTACTACTGCAACCTTCAGCCTCTGGTGTCACTCCATATCTAGAACAAGCAAATTTTGCATCTATAAACTCTTTAGATTTCTTTGACCGCCGGCTGTTTTTTATTGAGGTCGTGAATCCCATTGATTTGGCATATTCTTGATAAAAAGAATATGCATCTTCATGGGACTCGAATTCAATACCATCATGTGGCTCGAGACCTGTATTTCCTTCAGATGCAACTATGAGCCTTTTAGGGGAATGAGACATCCCTCCATCTCTATCCTGATGTGGCATTTCTACATCATCGCACATGTGTACGACCATTTGAAGATTCCTTTGCATGTTATCTCCAGGAATGGTTATTACTTTTATTTCCAAGAACATTCCCCTTTTGAGCTCCACGGAGTTTTACCTGAGGTAACTCAGCAAACGTTTCCAATTGCAGTTTGGGAAAATCAAGAGACATACACATACCTCTAAAAGCATGAATCTGTTACGAAGACTATAATGGAAATACAACATGATTAATTTAACTGTTCGAAGTGTCTAAATTCACACACATGAAGGATAAATATATGGCCAAAAATTCAAGCTCATTTTAAGAACCCCAATTCACCAAAATATCATGTCCAAGTGCATTCCTTTCATAATCTGTGTGCAAATCAGGCAAAAAGTTTCTTTTATCATAAGATTAAATATCCATGGTGTCAAATGAATATTTATAAGAAAGTCAAACAGTCCAAACAGACAGCAAGGTCACCTTCTAGTATAGCAGAAATGTCCATGTCCAAAAGCACATACAATGAAAACTAACATTATTACAACCAAAGGTTCAGTTAGCTTGAAAACCAATACCATTTTTTGCATTACAGTGGGTAGGTTTGACAGAGAAAACTTGAAATTCTGGAGCGAAAATGACATGATTTGAGGGTGTAAAAATATTAGGGCGAGACAATTTCCTGAACCTATGGTGAGTGGCAGAAAAGAGAGGGAAATGAGATATTGGTAAATGAACTCGGGATATTTTCTATATGTTTATGTAGCTGACCCACTTATTCTAGATGTGTATATATGACAGAATTATAGTATAGCATATTAGGCTTCCATTAATTCATTTAGCACTAACGCTCTAACTGTAGGATACATTAGGTTTTGGTTATCTGTGAGATTAATTACGTAGTATTATTCTTTTGAACAAAATTGTATAGTCGTATTAGGCATGAATCAAAAGTCAAAACTCATTTAAACCCTAATAATTGAATGCATCAAAAACACGAAAGTTCCATTATTGCAGATTGATCTTCTTAATGATCAACATAACCACATTTGATACAAAGTGAACTCAAACTAATTTTCAAAATAAAAACATAATCACTCAATCTTTGTGTATGGACTTCACTTGACATCATAATTCAGAATATCACATTGATAAATAGAAATGGTAACCTTCACTCTGGTACATGTGCTTAAAAATGAGCTGAGAACGTTCTCTATTTTCTTCAAAAATCTCAGCATATTCAAAGCAAGTATTCTTATAACAACTAAACCCTTGAGCACCAAAGTTAGTCAAACACAATTCATGCTTTTTTGTGCTACAACTATTTATGGTTTCAAGTATAGAGACTAATTGCAATTGTGTAAAATTTCCCTAGAACAAATCTAAAAATCATATTGGAGTATTAGAATTTGAAAGCATCGCATTGTAAGAAAACGAAGACCGTGATAAAAGAAGAACAAGAGAGGTACATGTCGGCCATCATCGTCGTTCAGCAAACATTGATTTCGCCGCTTGCATCTCAGGAAGCAATTTGCCCGAGCTTGCAAGAGTTGCAGACAGGAGGCAATTTGACGCAATGAAGGGCGCTCCAAATCTTTTCCGGTTTCCAAATGGAATGACCAGGACTAAAAAGATTCTTTTTTGAAAAATGCTTGAGTTTGGACACAAACGGTACACAAAACCCGTTGACCTTACACGGGCAATTCATTTAGAAAAGGACAGAATTTGATACCCAATTGTCTATTTACATAGGCAATGTACACATTTTGGGTATATCTTGTGTACGCCAAGCATGACCCTTCTTTTTTGGGACTATAAAGGTTCAAATAATTTGAGAAGAAGACTACGGTATAATGTTTTTATTTTCTAAATAAAGAAATAATTATTGTATATTTTGATAGTATTAGATTTTAAACATAATAGGATTTTTTCAAACCAGTAAGTATTCATATATAGGGAGTAAAAACATGTCAATTTTTTTGGAATTTTCATACGTTTTTACTTTTATTTTGGGAAATTTTCTCATTCTAAATCCACTCTTGTGTTACACGGTTAGTTATTCTTCCTCAAAAAATGGGTCAAGAATACATATTGTATAGCAATTGTGTATTGGTGTGATAGTCGAGAGAAATCCAAATTACACATTAATTAACGTACTTAATTCAAAAAACAAAAAAATAAAGTAAGTAAAATGAACCAGTCAAAATTACTTAAGATCTCAGAGACTTTGAATGTCTAACTTCATTTCAAATCAAAATCTCAAACATGCTCCCATTGTTACTCGTGAGTCATCGTGACGCCACAAAATAAAATTATGTGTGACTAAAATTCTAAAAAAGATAGTTTTCAATAACAAACTTACACGGATAATGAGTGTTCTTGACTTTTGTTTATAGTCATACCATATGATGCCATTATTGGATGTTTTCGTCTCTGGATTCAGAGTGACAATATGTAATCCTAAGGTGTTAATGAAATTCAACGATTAAATTATCATGAACTTTATAATTTTTTTAAACATTTATTAAATAGTAACATGTATTTAATTTTATTAAACTAATAAACTTAAGTCAACCATCCTTAGCGATCAAATAAATAAAAAACTAAATCAATCAAAATATATTATATTGGAGGTCTTTAATTGATAGGACATATCGCAATCATTAAGATCAAGATCTTGTGAAAGAAAAATCATTTTTACAAATGACCGGTTAAAGTCATTGTCACCACATGAAATGATTATAATTTGTTTAATTTGTATTTGTTTTTGTGGTAAACCACTTGTGTAGTCATGTCAATCAAGAGATAAGACATTGATGTAATAATTTGCGACGACAAGATAGTTACCTACGAATTACAACCATCAAGAACTGTGGGATATGGTTAAGGTACCACAACAAGTACAAAGAGTTCCGTGACACAACCTTGAATGGTGCGGTTGAGCAGATGTATACACATATGGCTTCCCGACATCGGGTACGCTAGCTATGCAAGAGAGAGAGCACCAAACAATTTCACAACTCCCAAATCAAGTTCACATTGGTCCTCAAGAAAGTTAGGCCTCCCACTAGGAAGCTAAAGATCACCTACAAGGCTTCCTGACCCAACCTCTTTGTTTAGTGATTTTGTCGTTGGCTAATGTTCTTTTAGTTTCTGTAGCATTTACTTGTTCAACTCTTTTTTCCCTGAGAGGAGTGATATTTAAAGAAAATTGTTGTTTGTCAACATAAGTGTTATGCGGGAAAAAAAATACTTTTCTTATAGCTCAATAAGAAATTTTGTAGAAAATACATATTTTATTGTTTTTATGCAAACATTTTTCAACGGAAGAATGCTCCATCATTTTTCTTTTACTTTTATGTATTATACGGAGTATTAAGATATTGAGATACTTTTTGGATGTCTTCTCACGTCTTTTTCACATGGGCTCATTGATGTAACAATTACTTCTTTTTTGGTTCAATAAGAAATGTTATAGAAAATATATATCCTACGTAATACTTCATTCGTCCCGTACAACTTTGTCATATTTCTCTTTGAGATATCCCAAAAAAACTTTGTCACTTTCTTTTTTAGTCAATTAATTTGTGGTTGATGTTATTTATCTCTCCTATGCACAGCACTCAATCACATAGTTTTTACTTTATTATACTCTGTGTCAGCCAAACTTGACATAGTTTTAAGGGACGGAGGGAGTATTATATATTTTTGAAGTGGACATGTTTTAGGAAGAGAATGCTCCATCACATTTCTTTTCCCATTTAAATATTAGGAGAAGTACTTGTTCATCACAAACACTACAAACTTTTAATTCCACAAAACTTGTTTTTCAAGCGCTGTTGACTTTTATTACTAAGCATTTTCTCTAAAATTAGTTTTGAAAATCATTTTTAAGTAGTAGCAATCACAAACACTCCTACAGTAAGGAATATGGGTTATTTATTTTGTTTTTTGTTTAATGTCAATGTAAAACTTTTCGGATGTCATGTTATCAATAGTTCTTTGATGTTAACCTTTTTAAGAGAAACTTCTTTACCAAGATTTCTTATGTTTATATATCCCCCGTATCATATTAGTTGCAATATTGCAATTTATACACTATTCATGCATGTACTCTACTTTGATTACATTTTATTTATTAGTGTATGTGAATTATTTTATTTTTTTAAAATACTGTTGAATTCGTCTCATTCCTAAGTTTCATAATCTGATTTTTAATTATTTTTTACTAATCTATAACTAAATATAATGACGGTCAAAGTTGTGCGTTGGCAAATGTGAAAAAAAGAATGTTGCAGCTAAAAAGAACAAAGGAAGTATATTATAAGAAATCCTCAATATGAAATGTCTATTGTATTACACACATCGCTAGTGTTATCTTTCATGTTGAGTTGAATTGTCTTGTCTTCTATATACTCTTTTTTTATCCCAAATGTTATCTTTCACAATGAGTTGTCTTGTCTTCTTTATATTCATTTTTTTCTTTTTCAATTGATTTTGTAGACCCATGAATGACTTGTTTTCTTGATATTCACTTTTGATGTAGACATTTTTTAGCGGAGCACTTCTCCATCAAAATTATTTTGCCTTTAGAAATTAAGAGATAAGAGATCTTCAATATGAAATGTCTATTGAATTACATGTGCCCCAAGTATTATCTTTCATCTTGAGTTGTCTCATCTTCTACCTAATCTTATTTATCTCAAATGTTATCTTTAATAATGAGTTGTCTTGTTACAGGACACTTTGATAGTTATGAAGAACGTTTAATAATAATATTAGAAAAAATGTCACATACACCCTTCTACAATTACAAAATGATCACTTAAACCCATGTGTTATAAAAAGCATCATATAAACCAACCTACTCTAAAAAATAAGTCAATTGAACCAAAATACCTAGAGTTTTTTTCGAATTAATGCTAATTAGTTAATTAATTACGAAAATAATGTTGGGTTAAAAGTATTTACCGATATACTGCTGGGATTAACCATGGTTGGGGTAAGTCGCCAAACGGTTGGACGACTTATAAGTCGTCATCCGGTTTGGCGACTTATAAGTCGCCCAACCGTTTGGCGACTTACCCTTAAATTAAAACGCCGGGTCAAGCTACGCCACAGACAGAGCAACAGACCCCCCTTCCCAAAAGCAGCGCAACGAGGATGAGCGAGGATGAGCGATGAGCGACGAAAACAGGTTCCAAGTCCGGTGAAACTCAGGCGAGGCCTCCCTATCTTGTCAATACTACTTCACTTCCATCTTCTTCAACACTCTAGATAAACAAATATCTCCAATTTATCTCATTTTAGGGTTTAGAATATAGAAAATTGGATTTTGTAAATTAGGAATTCATTTGTGAATTGATTTGTTGTGTAATGTGAATATGTATGAAGTGTTGAATGTTGATGCTGAATTCATTGTTATATAATGTTTTTTTGAACTTTGTTATGTAATGTAGATTTGGAGGTATGAATTGAACTTTGTTAATTTTTTGAACTTTATTAATGCTAAAAAACTCAAAAATTAGAATGTATTATTTTTTTAAATGTTATATTTTTCCGTTTTTTAAGTGTATATATATCATACAGGATTTGGTTAATATGTTGTGATGTCTATGAAATGATTAATTTGGGTGTATGAATTGTGTATATTAATGTGTACTCATGAAAGTTGGACATGTATCGTTATTAGAATATGGATTTCTCAAACTTCCCAGCCGTGTGTCATTGGGGAGGGATCGTATTTGAGGAAAGTGGCCAAATACGCCATGAAGGTGGTAGAAGCAGCTTTGTCATTGTTTCTCGTGGTGCATGTGATGGAGTATATGGGTCTGAGCCCCTGGACCCACATACTCGGAAGAACAGAAAGCACAAGACACAGAGTGGCGCCCTCGTCGGCCAAGACGCCCCCGTCGGCCGAAAAGGGGCCAACTCAGATTATGGTCCTGAGCCCAAGGAACCCGGGTGCCCTCGTCGGCCGTGCCCTCGTCGGCCACGTCCTCGTCGGCCACGAAGACCTCCCAGAACCGGATTTTGCACTTACTCATTTGTACAGCCCATTAGTGGCTTTGTATTCGGCCCAGTAGCGGTCCAGTTGTAAATGGGCCTCCCGAGCCCAAGGCTTGGGAGCCCAGCCCGTATTTTCTCTATAAATACTCCCCTTGGGAGTAGTTATAGGGGTTACAAAATCATTCTATTGAAGCATATATTGCACTTCTCTCTCTAGCTCTCACTTCTCTCTAGATATACTCTATCATTTGGTGCTCTCGTTGAGAGCTAGAACAATCAAGTTAGCACCCTTCGTCGCTACCAAGCACAGCTAACCATTGATCATGGGGAGAACTAAGTCAAACCGCAACCTCGTCAGCAAAGCCATCCCTGAGGACCAAGAGCCCAGGGAGCACGATGAGGACGCCACGGCCGACCAGGTCGGCGGAGGGGACCTCTTCCAGGAGGCCTTCAACCTCACGACGGACCTCCGCAACCAACTCAACGGCGGAGCCCCTGATGCCCGCCTCGGCCTGGACAAGAAACGAGCTGAGAAGACGGACCACGCCCCGGCCCAGCCTATGGCCGCGGCCTCTCCGTCCGTGGATCCACAGGTCCAGGCCGCGCTGTCGGTCATCATCGCCAGCCT